GCTTCTCCCTCTCCCACTCCCCCTGCTTGTGTTCCCTCTCTCACTGTGTCTCTCTCTGTCAAATAAATAAAATCTTTAAAAAAAAAAAAAAATCACTGTTACATTTCTGGAATAAACTCTACTCGATGGGAGGCAGTTGTCTTTCAGTATATTGAATTTATCTGCCATTAAGATTTATACACTTATATTTACATTGTTGTGTGGTTTCCTCTTTAGTACTATCTTTTGTATTTTTTTACGTTTTTATGTCAGTTTCTGGTTAACATTATAAAATTTTTATTGTTTTCGGGAGCTTTTAAGAGTGGATTTATCTGTACCTCGAAGGTTTGAGGTTTTCTCATTATAATTATTTAAGCCCTGAGTTTTTTTTCCTTTAAGTAATTGTTCAAGAACTTTAATTTTCTTTCATGGTTATTGAATTAATAAGACTGTACACTTTGTGTTTTGTAATCTATAACGTTTATCCCCAGATTCATTTATTTTATCAGTACTTTCAAATATATTACCAGAGAATAAATTTATTATTTTAAACGTCCAAATTAAAAAATAAAGGCAAGGTGTAATCACCTTATTTAGATAATAGAAAATGATCTTTCACTTAATTTCAGAAAATGTATACTGAATTTCTCCTGTACATTGCTGTATGTGCTATGTCCCGTGGAATTCAGGGGTTTTGGTTTGATTTGCTATATTTCACTTTTTTTTATTTTGGAAAAGAGAACTTCTCTCTCAAAATAAGATAATTGCCATACTACCATCATTTAAAAATCATATAAAGTAATAAATAAAAGTACCTTACAGTGCGCTTCAAAATTGATCCCCCAAAGGTTCATTAACAGAACAATGACTATTCTTTCAGACTTTTTTTCTTAACGATTTTACAAACATTGACTATACTTAATTTTTTTTTTTTTTAAGACGGAAAGATTGTGCTATATTTACTTCCTGGCTTGTGGCCAAGGTGTTTTTAATAGTGAAGTTGAATGTTTTAAACATCCTGCTTATCTAGATTTAAGTGTCTGGATATGCTGCTGTAGGTTTTTGTGGTTTGTTTTTTCAGATGTGTGCAATTTGCAAAACTTCAGCAAACACTGAACATAACCTGTCTGTTACTGTGTAGTCACTTTCTGATCTTTGTCACTATATTAAACATTTCACATAATTATAATCATTGAATTCATACTCTTTTGTGCTCTATTTCTGTTAACTCACATGAACTACTGTTCCATATTCCTCTTTTATTTTTTTCTTAACTCTTTCTCTTGTGTTGGATATTTGGGTTCTCAACTTTTTACTGTAATTTATGCTATTTTGCTATTGCTTTATCATACTTCATAAATCCTTTTAGCACAGTAGAGAAAGTAGATACAGGAAGATTTGAATAATAGGAAGCCATTTAGAGGGAGACAAGAAAGGTGAAAGAGGAAGTGGTTGGAGTAGTTGAGACATGGTGGTGCTTTTTGTTTTCTGTGATATTTGTGCTTATTAGTGTTCATTTATTTTCTTATTATAAATCTTGGTTCTTGTGATACTTTCATGGAAGACTTCCTAAATTTTGAGAACCCACTACATGTTTGGCACTTTGTAGGAATTAGAACTATAAGCAGAGCAGAGCCCCTCCCTCAAGGAGTATGACAGTAATTACTATAGAAGTCTTCAAAACAGTTTGGTTGTGTACTTGTGAGAAACATGTATGAGTTTGGACCCCATAAGTATAAATTTCATGTGTGCTGTTCTCAGTTCACTATGTATTAGGTTAGTGAAATTTCATTTCTTTTTTAATTTTTTTTTAAGGATTTGTTTAGAGAGAGAGAAAGAGTGTGTGTGTGAGTGGGGGGAGGGACAAGGAGAAGATCTGAAACCCATGAGATCATGACCTGAGCCAAAACCAAGAGTCAAGCACTTAATCGACTGAGCCTCCCAGGCATCCCAATTTATTTTTATAAAAACTACAAATACAGTAATGTGTATAGAGACTTTTAAGAAGCATTTTTGTTGTTGCCCATTTAATAAAGACCATTGTAATAGCTTCTGTCTTAAACCAGCTTATTCTTCCTTTATTGACATAGTTCCAGGTGCTCCTTCAGCTCCAAGGAGAGGGCGTGGGGGTCATCGAGGTGGCAGGGGACGATTTGGTATTCGACGAGATGGTCCAATGAAATTTGAGAAAGACTTTGACTTTGAAAGTGCAAATGCACAATTTAACAAGGAGGAAATAGACAGAGAATTTCATAATAAACTTAAATTGAAAGGTGAGTTCATTTTTCTATTCAGAAAATGTTCTTATTTGGCTTGTGAATTTTGGATGTTTAATAAAAATCTTGACTTTCTGGTATGTGCTTGTTTTTCACTAGAAGATAAACTTGAGAAGCAGGAGAAGCCTGTAAATGGTGAAGATAAAGGAGACTCAGGAGTTGATACCCAAAACAGTGAAGGAAATGCAGATGAAGAAGATCCACTTGGCCCTAATTGCTATTATGACAAAACCAAATCCTTCTTTGATAATATTTCTTGTGATGATAATAGAGAACAGAGACCAACCTGGGCTGAAGAAAGAAGATTAAATGCCGAAACATTTGGAATCCCACTTCGTCCAAACCGTGGCCGTGGCGGGTACAGAGGCAGAG